TTCCCTGGGTTGCTATACTCCTATTTAATCTTTATGCAAATGAATGTCTGCTTTTTCTCACTGTGTGTCAAGTCTGATATGTCAGCCCATATGAATTTTGCCATTTAGATAATTGACATTGCAAGCTTAAATACAGATAGTATACAATTTTTCCCCTGGCATTTGCTAAAGTTATTTTAAACTAGGAAATTCAATTTTCCTCTTAAGAACCTGTCTATATGTAATGCAGGAAATGACAGAAAAGTGCTTTATAAAATGTCATATTTTCCTTAGTTGTATCCCTGTTTACAGTAAGATTTTTTTATATAACTGATTTTAATATCCATATAAAGAAAGGGACCCTGAGTATATACCCCTGAGTCCATTTCTTTGTCTTCCCTTCCTCTATTTTTATTTCTTCAGTCAGTTAGGGTCAGCCATCTTTAGACTATACATTTTAAAATGGGGTCTATTAAGTTGTTAGCTTTGGCCTTGGGATGTGTTTGGTTTGTCCACCAGGTAACAGTGTAGTTTTAACTCCTCCTCCTCCTCTTGATGTTTCTAGATGGCACAGAGCCTGATATTATTTATTTACCACTTAATACAAAACAATTAACCTTCTTTCAACTCTTTCTCTATTACCTGTTTCCCATTTGAACCTTACCCCAATACCCAACGCTCTTACAGTATTTACTGACGGCTTAGGTAGGACAGGAGCTGTATTTTGTACTAACTGTATTTTGTTTATTGTTAGCATGTGTGCTTTCTTTCTTATTATGTGTTTAACCACTGATTGATTGTTCATTTAACTAAGTCATGGCTGTTCAACTAAAACAAATAAAGAAGGGTGAGATGTGGAGACTCCTTTCAAAGACAATAATATCTTGTTAGTAGATGCCTTGTTAGCAGATAGTTAACCGCAAGGATGGCAGTCTTATCAGCAGATAAAGAACAGATCAGGAAAAGGAAGAGGATTGCAACCCCTCCCCTCCTGTGCAGAATGTCTTGTCAGAAGATAAGAAACAAAGCCAGGAAAATTACAACCACAGGAATGGCAGAATGAGAAAAAGTTTTAAGCTTATTAGTTTAGTGGGTGTTGCTGGAAATATATTTAGAGAAAGAAAATCAAATGAGACAACTGTTGCACCTTGCGAAGGAATGGACTCAGTCTGGGATGCAGAGTGAGACAACTTTATTCTCAAACCAACTTCTTTTATACTCTCAACACAAATGTTGCTAAAATTACAACCGGTTAGCATCTTGCCAGCCATGCAGTTGTGGTTATCTTCTTTTCCTTGCTTTGTTCCTCATGTGCTGACAAGACATTCCACATGTGGTTGTAGTCCTCCTCCTTTTCCTGCTTTGCTCCTTGATGATAAGGCATTCCTCCTTAGAATCATAGAATCATAGAATGCTTAAGGTTGGAAGGGACCTCTAGAGGTCATCTAGTCCAACACCCCTGCACACGCAGGGTCACCTAGAGCACGTGGCACAGGACTGCGTCCAAGCGGGTTTTGAAGATCTCCAGAGAAGGAGACTCCACAACCTCTCTGGGCAGCCTGTTCCAGCGCTCTGTCACCCTCACTGTTAAAAAATTTTTCCTTAAATTCCTGTGGAACTTATGGTGCTTCAGTTTGTGGCCATTACCTCTAGTAAATGCAGTTAATTGTTTATTAACAAGGCATCTGGTACTATTGTCTC